CTCGAAAGCACAGTACAAAAGAAAAAAGATGCCAAAAACACATGACATAAATTTTAAAAGAAAATCTATATGGCAAGACAAAGAAGAAGCAGAGAGAGGGAAGAACAAAACACAGGTCACACCAACAAAGTCCAAACACTCAGTGGGGAGCCGACACCCCAGTGTGGGACTGAGGAAGGGACAGGGGTCCATACACCTGCTGCGGCCTCAGCTCTGAAGGTGCATCTGGCCCCCCTCAGGCCGGTCCCTTCTCTCTGATGCCCTATCCCCTGTCCCGTGCAGAGCTCCGGAGAGATCAGAGAGACTGGCAGGTCAAGGGCTTGGCAAGACACCCAGGTGTAAGACCCAGTCATCCTTCTATAACCTGAGGACCAGCACTCTGAGGACCAGCACTCCGCACCGGCCAAGCTGGGAGGCCTGCGTCTCTGGATCTGCAAGAGCAGCCAGCAACCCAAACCCCGGAGTCTGCTGCCCAGCGCTGGCCTGGCACCGTTCCACAGAGAAACAAAGTCAGGAACGGTCATTTACACAGAAACCCCATGCCTCAGTCCTTGACAACTGTAATTACAAGCAAACAGCTTGTGAAAGGGAGAGCAGAAAATAGCAGCCCGGACCTAGCCGTGAATTGGAGGTTTCGGGGTAAAACACACACCCAGAGCGCTTGCTGTCATGGCGGCCAGTCTAAACAAGCGACTGGCCAGCCAGACCAAGCCGCTTTCTGGCCAGTGTGTTTCTCCCTCTGATTTAATGAGCTGCTTGCTCATTAAGCGCTAGAAGCAGGTCACAGGGAAGGGACTTGCTGGCACAAGGCCACACGGGCGGACAAGTGACAAGGGCGGAGGATACAGGGGCCACTCCAGCCCCCAACACGTGGCCAGTCCTGCCGGATGCCCCGGGGCCTCCATAGCTTTGAGGTTATGCCTTCTGCAGAGGTACGCTCTGTTCCTTCCACAAAGTGGTGTTTCTGCCATGGACTCCCTCGCCAGGGAAGTTCCACGTCCTAAGCCTTGGTTCGCCAACTGGGCCTATCACCCAAAAGATCATTCGAGAGCAGGGTCACAGAGGCGGCAGCACCGTCCTGGGCGTGAGCCCCAGCTCCACCTACTGACAGCAGCTTGACCTAGAACTACCTCCCCCAAACTCTGTTTCCTCACCTACAAAATGCGATCGTATCCTCGCCTCACCTAGAGTAGTCGCGAATCATTATTTCTAGACTAAAAGGCCTAATGAAGCACCTCACACATACCTCGTGCTGAGCGGTAACTATTTCCATTGACGGCTAATATTAACAGAGATAGGACTCTAACTATGGTAAAGGTATTAACGACAACATAGTCCCCCATGTCTTAGTTCGACATGAAGAAAAGAGGCATTTTCGGTGAAACCCCAAGGATAGGCCAGCCCCAGGCTGCAATAACGCCAACCATAGCGAGAGCACAGGCCATCCCAGCACAGGGAACGCCTCCCCCAGGGCTGGGCTTCCTATCTGAACAGGAAGATGAAGAAAGTAGAGGAAAGACCTGGGAATATACTTAATGCCAAGCCTGAAGCCACAGGGATGAAGAATCTCACAATCTCTCGAGAGCGAGGGGAGAACTACACACAGGTCACATGCCCACCCTCTCCTAGACCCCAGGATTCCTCAGGACCCCTCTCTCTCTGAGATTTAATCTAAAAAAAAATGAGAGGGGCGCCTGGGTGGCGCAGTCGGTTAAGCATCCGTAAAGTTACGTGAAGGCCCCAGGCTGCAAACGTCGCAGCCATAGAAAGGCGGAGAGCACAGGCCATCTTCACAACCATAGCAGGAACCCCTAGGACGCCTCCCCAGGGCAGGCTTCTGAACAGGAAGATGAAGAAAGTAGAGGAAAGACCTGGGAATATACTTAATGCCAAGCCTGAGCCACAGGGATGAAGAATCTCACATCTCCTGAGAGCTTAGGGGAGAACTACACACACATGCCCACCCTCTCCTAGATCCCCAGGATTCCTCAGGACCCTCTCTGAGATTTAATCTAAAAAAAAAAAAAAATGAGAGGGGGCCTGGGTGGCGCAGTTAGCATCCGACTTCAGCACAGCCAGGATCCGATCTCATGATCCGAGTTGAGCCCCAGCGTCAGGCTCTGGGCTGATAGCTGGAGCCTGGAGCCTGTTCCATTCTGTGCTCCCTCTCTCTCTGCCCCTCCCCGTTCATGCTCTGTCTCTGTCCTAAAAATAAATAAATGTTGAAAAAAAAATTAAAAAAAAATTAATAAAAAAAAAAAAATGAGGGTAACAGGACCCCCCCCTCGACAGCTTGCTGTGGACATCAAATGAACCCACATGAAGGTGCTTTGAAGCAACTCATTCCCACAACCATGAAAAACAGCATTGTTTTTTTGATAGTTTCAACAAATACAACTTAATAAAAAATGCTGAAGAATTGGGAAGATCAAGGCAGTGAAAACGTGGTTTGTTGTTGTTGTTGTTGTTGTTTTTAACGTTTTGAGAGAGAGCATGCACCAGCAGGGAAGGGGCAGAGAGAGAGAAAGAATCGCAAGCAGGCTCTGTTCTGGAAGCTCAATGCGGGGCTCAAACTCACAAACCGTGAGATCATGACCTGAGCCGAAATCAAGAAGAGCCAGACGCTTAACCGACTGAGCCACCCAGGCGCCCTGAAAAAGTTATTTTAATAGGCTAACGAACTGCTCAGATAAACAGGGACAAACATGCTAATTTTCTTCCCAAATCTGCTGTCCCCGACCTGAGGTTTCTGCAGGGGAGAGGAATTGTTTGGAAGTAAAATTGGTGAACAGCCAACTGGAGCTCCCAACATCTGCTACACGTTTTCCATTTAGGTGGTAGATGCTTCTGCAAACAAAGAGCCCAAAACAGGCTGCATCCTGGATGACCAATCCAGCCACCTCCGACACCCATTCTCTCCAAAAAGTTATGCAATGCCATTTGACCAATCGCTTAACCTACCTTCGAAATGTACAAAATTTCAAGTAGCTCCTATGTCAATGCAGAGCACACAGACAAATTCCTTCACGGTGATCAGAAGGCAGCTTCGTTTTTGTTCAGTCTCTGCTCTGTGTACCAGAGTCGGAAAGCAACGGGCTGGAATGTTTTCCAGACGCTGCTAGAAGGTGCCCGAAATGCCACAAGAGAACGCACACACACCCTTTCGGGACCCAAAGCAACTGATCGAGGAAATTATGCTGAAATCCCACATTTGTTCTTAAAAATTCAAGTCAACCTTTTTACATACCACAATAAATTGCTTTACCTTTTTAGTGTTTTTGAGTCAATTAACAGCTAATTATCAGACATTTCCCCTAAAATCCGAATTAAAAAGATACGTCAGCATTCTCTCTCACTCCCCAGTGGACCCCACACACCCTCAAGGGCACCTGCATCTCCGTTTCAGGAGCAGCGGGGCAGCGGAAGAGTGGGGGGGATAGTGTCCCTCCAGCCACCACATCAATTTAATCCTTGGCCTTTAATCCAGATGAACCACCCGACTCAGAACAGCTTCCCTGGAGAGTGGAGGGAGAGGGGTCTGCGGTTGGCGGTGGGCGCAGCCTCCCACCTCGGTACCCCCAGCACATCTAA